CAAACGTTGAGAACCATTCTCAGTTACTCGCGTTAACACACTGAACCCAAATCTCCAGCACGTGCCCCTGTTTGATAAATTCGGCCTAATCCAAAGTGATAGTCTTTTCTTCCTGGTTGATGGCCTTTAAAACTGCCACCCATTCTTCCCTGGTTTCTGGTGATATGAATTAGCAAAACTCTGCAATCCATTAAGTATGCGAGTCAGGTAAGACTTTATGCTTTCTCCCTGGGTCTTACTGGGAGCTTGACTCTGGTGTTGTCACGAATAGAGAAATCGGGGACCTGGAGGTGGTGACAACATGGTCCCATGAGGACAGCAGGCATCTCCTTGTTAGGTCATCACCCCACATGAGATCTTCCCCTGAAGCAAGAGGGGAACAGGGCCTGCTCCTACTGCTGAGGAGGTTTCATCAGGGTTTGAATCTGCCCAGCCTCCTCCTCCAATGTTCCCTTTCCCAGCACTGTCCTGTTTTCACCAAAAAAGAAGGTGTGAGGCTAGAAATGCACAACCGCTGCCGTAATTCAGCCACCCATACAGGCAGACCATGTCTGATTTGCAGTTGCTGCAACCTGTGGCTACGAAACGTAAGAGAAGCTCTCTGGGAATCTCTGGGAATGTCCCTTGCTTCTCTGTTTCTTAAAAATAGAATTTAAACCCTGAACTTATCGTATATATATTTTTTTTCATTACGCCTCTGGCACAGCTAAAAACAGGTAACCCATATTCTGAAGGTACGATATCCTTGTTTCTTTCAAGTTCAACCAGATAAGATTACCAGCCCCAGATTCCCTCATTTTCTTGGGAATACTGATGCTAATTACTATAGAGTAACAGCTCAGTTGCAAAGAACAGACTCTATGCTTACTGGTTTAAGAAAAGACTGTTATCACAGGCCATTAAACACATTCCGGAATCATTAGAGAGGCTGCAGAAAACAAACTCTGGGCTGTGCGTCTCATAACAACTTTTATTTAAATTGCACTGCAGGGCCTGGAAGCCAGGAGAGCTGAGCTGTATTTCTGCTACCATCCGAAATGAGGAGGCTGCCAACCGAGGGATGAAAGCTGCTTCCACACGTGGGTTCCAAAACCACGCTGGCTCTGCTGGGACCCATATGAGCAGAAAGGAGGCTCATCGCCCATTTCAGATTCGAGTCCCAAGCAAGTGTGCTTCTGCTCAGCAGAATCTGAATCGTCTCCAAAAAACCTGGTTGCAAGGGAGTTCAAGGAGATGTGATTTTGAACGTTCCTGCCTCCGCTCCAGGCAGACTGGTGAAGAAACCAGTCCACGGTGTTGGCTCACCTAAATGAGGTACCATCGAGGCCCTGTCTGGAAAACAGTGTGGTGCTTGCAGTCGGAGCCAAATGGCTGCATCGGTGAGTGAGGGCCCTGCCAGGCAGCTCTCCCTGGCAAATGAGCTGGTGTGGAGAGAAAGGCAGGTCCCGTTGTCCTGCAGCTGAGAAAGGCAATTCAACCTCAGTACGGGTATCACTTAGCTCAGAGATTTGGACTCTGAATGATACTCTATTGTTATCCTTGGGAGTTTGGGATTTGTCTTCATAGTTACTTTCTCTTGGTTTTAAAAGTTCTCCCCATTTTATTTCAGAAAGGGTAAGAGGATTTCTCTGCCATATTCAAGACACATAGTCGAAACAATACTGAGAGAGAAATGGGTCCTACCAGAGGGGAATTCCATCTGACAGCTTCTCAATTTAAAATTTCTCAGTTTATGCTGAATTAGGTAAATGGGAGTCAAATATGCATTGTTTTTATTTTGAAATTTGGATCTATACAATTAACTAAGTGAAAGCCAGCATGCTATATGAATGCTAATTAATTACTCCTCATTTACATACCAACAATTAAGCCATTGTTCATGCCATACGAGTTTGCATATGCAAATTGTGTTTTTCTCTGCTACTGGAAACTCACTGATCACAGCTGCATGAAAAACTGTCTGGTTTATGAAGTTTCCATCAATCTTCACATGATAATGCTTAGTTATGCAGAATTAATTAGTATTTGCGAATTAACATACTTGACTTTCAGTTATGTCTACCTTTCACCCCTACACTTGTACAATTATTCCCTAAGAGAACCTGTGAAGAATAATCATTTCACATGAAATCGAGTAATAAAACATTTCAAATGGGATGCACACATGTGGAAGAGCTTGAGAAGGAGCATGCTTCTGACTAATTGCACACATGGAGGCTTTTGATTCTTATAAGAGCAATGATCCTGAGAACCCCCAAGCAGGTCACATTGGCAGATTCTCCAGTGACTAAGACTGGTCTTGTTTTCTCTACACCTTTTTCCACTTTCCCAGAAGCATTTTTAAACTGTGTGCTGTTTTCCACACTGAAAGCTTCAAATTATCTCAGAATTTTACAATAAAGCAAGAGAAAAGCCATTAATTAATCACAGCAGTAACGGGCACAGAAGCTGTTTTATCTCCCACACTTCCTGCAGAAACCATTTGCTCCCTCTGCACTCACAAGTTTCTTCTCAACTCACACCAAGAAAGACTGGCGTTTTCTCACTTATTTGGATGTGTATCGAGGTTTGTATATCTTAAAAGAAAAGCTACCTCTAAGCTCCAAACCAGATCATGGTAAGAAATCATCCCCCTTTTCCTCCAATTACTCGGTTTGGAAGCCAAATGTTGTCTAGAAGTAAACTTGAGGATTTGTAGAAATTCAATAAGGATAATTAGGTGTAGGAAAAACATCCAACTTTTCTCGCAGTTATACAGGTCCAGCCACAAATCACATAGTTCCTCTGGGCCTTAAAAAGCAATGGGTGATGGACATGAGGCTTCTCATAGAAGAAAAGTGCAGCCTGGAATGTACATGACATGGTCAAGAAATAATTAATCAACTAGTTTAGGAGATAGGACACTTATGGAAATAAAGGGAGATAAACTGGGGGAAACAGGATGGGACTGGACTATGGAGAAAGATAGAGATCAGAATAAGAAATCTGGATGTTGATTCCACAAACAGTAAGGTCTTATTGACTATTTGTTGACTCAAACTGCTGTCAATAGCCCTTGAACCCAGTGGACCAGTAGTAATAAGAAAATATCTCAGGTGGCATAGGAGAACAGAAAGAATAGAGCATAGTCTGCTATTGAACCAGTGCCCCCCCAAATCTTGAGAAGAGTAAAAAGTGAATGTGGAGACTTAAAATAAGGCTTGAACACAAGGGAGGCAAAAGGCAAGACCTTATATTTTGAGCCGGAAACTTCCAGCTTGGTTGGATACCATTGATTTTTCTGAACAAAGTCACTGATTATTTTTTTCCAAAGATTTTATTAGGGAATTGAGGGAGGGGAACAGCATTGGGGAATTGGGCAAGGGGAACAGATAAGCTGCTGTCCTTTTGTTCTTCAGTCTACTTGTGGAGGACATCGCTTCACTGGCCCATGTTGGTGTTATTATTGCGCTCTTTCCAAGTGGGGCAGATTGGTCGCCGGCCTCTGGACAGCCGCTCACAGTGGCTCATGGCAGCTCACACTGGCTGCCGGCCACTCACTGGTAGCTTATGGCAGCCCCACTGCCGCAGGGGCTGCAGCCTATGCCATCGCCAGCAACTCACAGCAGCCCAGCTCCAGGTCGAGCTGTTGTTCACCATCTTAGCTGTAGAGGGCACAGCATAACTGGTCCCCATGTGGGATCTGAACCAGGGCCCTGCTGCTCAGAGCTGGCATCCCAAGTCAACTCTTAACCAATGCACCACTCAGCCGGCCCAAAAGTCACTGATTTTTACAGAAATCATGACCCCTAGATTCTAAGCCTTACAAGATACTTCTAAGATGTTTACAAAGCATTAAAACATCAACCACCTAATATGTCAAAGAGTTAAAAGTGATACAGTAATTAGGCGGGAAAGAATGGAGCGAGAAAAAGGTTTTAAAATCTGCAGTAGGAGGATGGACTCAGCTGCCTCTATTTTATTTTATTTTTTCCTCCTTTTTATTTTATATTTTTAATTCTATAAAAAATTTCCTTCACTCACAAATGTTCCTTGAGTGGATGCTTACTGTGTGCCATGGGAAGGCTGTCAGAACTTGGGCTTGCAGTCGCAGCTGCCTCTAAACCCATACTCTGCCATTTTCTAGAGATGGAATTTTGGCAAATTATATGGACTCTGTGGCCCTCAAACACCTTTTCTATAAAATGGCAGGAATGATACCCACCTCAGAGTCTGTTACAAGAATTTTGCTTATAAAATGCCTATAGTACATGACCAATTAGAGGAAGCTTAAAATTTTTAGTTTCATTTTCTGTGTCATTGAAAAACTATGAAAAGTTTTACTACTGTGTGATAAAGTATTTGCTAATTTCCTAGTTACAATTTCAGCAATTATGGTGGCCTCTTCCTATAGAAATAGCTTTGGTTAGGATTTTAATGTCTCCATTAAATCTTTTAATTTCTGTAGGAAATATAAATTATAACTTCTTTGTCATTTACGGGTGGTCAAGTCAATTCCCATGGATTTGGTTTCACTGCTTCTGTCCGACTCAAAACAACAATAACAAACTGAATGCCATACTGAATGCTATTTATTTGTTTCATGTGATTCTACTCAAATAATTTGAGATGTCTACCTTCTTCTCAAGCATTTAAAAATTCTTTCAAGCAATCTTGAAATATCTAACTTTTATGTTGCTCATCCCATTCTGTTTTGAGTTTAATTCTTTGAGATTTGGTTATTTAAGCTTTTAGTAAGTGATCACCACAATTCTACTACATCAGCAATTCAGCCTAAAATTTTCTACAACTTATCATTGAATAAAGCATTTTAATGCTTAGGTTTCTTTAGGCAGAAACAATGTAATTGATAAAAATTCCAAAAATTAGCTAAATCCCTAATACTCGTTAATAAGCTTGCTGTCTTTGATAATATTGTGATAATGTTTCTAATGAATAAAAGGCTTTGTCTCTTTGCCTCTTCTACTGCCAGACATCGCACAGGCGCCCTGAAGACCTAGACTTCGGAGCACGTCTTTGACCACCCACGGGAAATTGTTACAGCAGCTGCAATGCAGAAATACCCCAACCCTATGAACCCAAGGGTGGCTGAAGTTTTGGGCAGACATATAGATCCTTCTGGGAAGTTGCACAGCCATAGGCTTAGCACTGTGTGGGGACTGCCTTCCATTGCGAAATCTCTTATTGGTGCCGCAAGAACCAAAACATATGTGCAAAAATATTCTGTAGAGAAAACAATGGAACTCAAATTCACTACTACTTCACTTACAAATATGATTTCAGTAAATGAAACATTTATATACAAATCACATCCTCAGGGCCCAGAGAAAACTGTTTTGACTCAAGGAACCATTATCACTATGAAAGGAGTCAGTCTCAGTAGTTACCTCGAAGGACTGCGGGCAAGCGCGATATTTTCCAGTGCTAATAAAGGCCGAGAAGCAATGGAATGGGTAACACATAAGCTAAATGCTGAGACTGAAGGATTGACGGTGTCGGCAAGAGGGAGCATACGGACACCGATGTCGGCGGCAGCATTTGTAGGGAAATGAGGATGAAAGTTCAGATACAACGCCCAGTAGCCCGGGTCTCGCTAGCTGGCAATAAATTTATTTGTTATTTAATTTAAAAATACAACTATATTTTAGGTCAATTTTTTTTAATAAGCTGAAGAAAGGCCATGTGACTTTGATCAAAACAAAGAGGTACAGGGTTTCTAAATGAAGTGGGCCATCCAAGATGATTACTGGTGTTTGAAATGACTGGTTTTGAGGATCCCATTATTTATGTGAAAAATTCACGATTTTTGAGAAGTACTTGGAAATTGGTGTTCGCATAGTAAATCTCCTTAAGGTAGAATTTCACAGCTTTTCATGCATTGAAACTATCTGCTTTGGACCAACTGCAGAGCAAAGCAGATCCACCTCTTAAATATACACAATTGTGCTTTGCAGCAAACTTCAAGAGGGAATGCACTTTAAAAGGCTAAATTTTAGAGATCTAAAAGACATTAATTTGTATAAAATAACTTGCTCTGAACCACCATTAAAAACCACAGTGTTTTAATTTGATACTTAATTGACATTTTTGGAGTGAAAAATATCACTACAGTAACACATTATGCCAACAAAAATAGGATTTTATTGTATTAAAGAGTACTGTACCAATTTGCCAAAGCTTTGTAACTTAGTAAAGGTATTTCCTTCCTTGGATTTGTATGTTATGGCTTAGTATGCTGAATATTGGGCTGGTTATATTAACAGAAAAAAATAAAGTCATTACCGGAATTTTGCAGCACCCTAACCTTAAACAGAAGCACAGCTGTTGACATCTTTTAGTTGTTCACCTTTGCCTAACTTATAAATTGCCGTGTGTCAAAATCCTGGTCCTGTAATTGCAAAAGCATGATACATTAGGTTATTTTAATATAATTACTTTTTGAAGCAATTGTGACCACAGAACATCTTTTTTACATGAGGAGTTGTACATCATTTGAAATTACTCAGATGATGTCTTGATCTGAAGCATAAATCTCAGGTACTTAATAATATGGTGCCACTGCAGTGTGTGGGGGTGGTGAGGAAGAAGGAAAGAATAATAGGGAGGGAAAAAGACCTAAACTAACACTACATGAATTGCTCTGCAGCTTTTATTTATGGGAAATCCTCATTTAGGGTGCCTGCACTCTGAAAAACAAGCCAGTAAATGTATTTTGTTTCCTATTTTGTAGCAGTCAATTATCAACCAGTAAATAAGATTTTTGATACTTGCAATTGTTGCATATAATTTTTGTTAAAAGGTGATTAGCTCTTGCTTTTATTTTATAATGCTTAATGTGATAACTTCTAGTCAGCTTTCCTATAAAAGAAACCAGGTAATAAATGTACATAAATCACAGAAATAGTATACCAAACTATTTAAAATTAGTGTTTTTCTACTTAAAATATTGTTTAGATTAAGACTTCTTGGGGCATTTGCAAAAGCAAGTTAAATTCAATAAGGTTTTTTATTATTTTCTGTAATCAGAAATGGTTTTTACAATTGAAGTAACATTTCAGCTAAACAAAACATTGCTAGATACTGATTTTAATAAAAAATTACCTTGTATAATTTTTGTAAATTATAGTTGTTCAGAAAAAAAAGGTGTAATGAATGCCCTAATGATAAAAAGGTTTCTAAACAACACACCAAAAAAGGTTTTGTGCAAGTTAGAAAAATACTTAAGAGTGACATTACCAGGTGTCATTTTTTACGTGTAGAAAAATAACAACATTAAAAGCACATCAGAAACATATGTAGCCTTAGTTTCAAGAGCTGTTTTTGTCTGAAAATGGCAGAAAATCTACCATATTTACCCATAGTTGACATGTTTCCATCAGTTAGAAAGGAGGGCAAATGTACGTAGCAAAATGTAATTTTAATCAGTAGCTAGAAACAAAAATGTTTTGACCATATATAATGTCTTCTCCCAGGGATGCTGTGCATGCCAGTATTTTTTTCGCAAAGGACAAAACCAGTCACTGTTGAAAACAAACATGGCTAGGTATGCAATATCAGTAACATCTGTGACTTTCTTTGCAAACCCATCAGTAGGCACAGGCGGTAATTTAACAACCAAATAAGCAAAGGAAATGACTCTACAGAGAACTCTTTTATATACGATGGGCTATGGGGGGTGACACGATCAAATTACTCAAGCTGTCCCACTGAGTTTACAGTTTTCTTCTCCGCAAATACAATGCTCACTATTGTCACTGCTGCCATAACCACCTAGGTCTGAACGTCCCCTACCTCCAAACACCCAGCTGCTACTCTGTTCAAGTAAGACGTCTCCATTTTTTCCAAATCCATTAGGAACTTCCACGGCTTGCTATCTTTGCTCAGGCTGTTACCTCTTCCTGGAATGACTTGTGTTTATTTCTCCCCTTGGAGAAAGCCTACTTATTCTCCCAGATCCTGTTCACAACATTATCTCCCCTCGGAAGATGTTCTAGACACCCTGCTCCCAGAGCCCCTTATGGATCAGTCATTTACCTTTTGTTGTGTCCCCCGAAAAAAAGTTCGTATGTTGAAGTCCTAGATCTATCTAACCACCCATTTGACAGCTCCAACTGTATGCTTAAGCCTTCTCCAAAGTAACCTAGCCAACACAGAACTCTGCATTGTGTGCCCGTAGTCTTTCCCATCACAGTAAAGGAGCACCATCACTTGTCCAGCCACACAAGCAAAACCTGCAAAACACCCCCACTCTTCGACACATTCCCTACATCAAACCCATCAGCCCCCCGTGTGTTTGAGTCATACTTCAAAAAAGTCTTTCTCTTTCCAAGATAATTGTTAACTGTCCCCCACTCCATTGCTCTCCTTATTGTGTCCACTGGAACCCAAGTCAGCCTTCAGGGAACTCCCCTCACTCTTTGACCCCTTCTGTGCATGTGTTTTTCACTGCCTTGCATCTCTTCTGAGAACCCACCTCACCTGTAGGCTTCCCAAGTAGTTTCTGCATTATCTCTGACACCCTTCATGCCACTCAGTCCTGGGAATGGGTTGGTGCTCTTCTTACTCATGTTTACTTCCAAACAATCCTCTCCTCCTCCTTGCTACAACTCCCTGCCTTTGAATTTTATGCCATCAGATAATACCCTGGCACAATTTGTCCTCCTTGCTGCAATTTCTCATTGCCCCTAGGACACTCACCATAAACCCTCGAAGTTTTTAGCTCCTCTCTTATTGTTACTTTCTGTAGCACAGTTTCTGTCACAAACCCGTATACCCATAAATGATCCTTCTACTTTGCTCTTAGTTCCTTGACTTTCTTCTCCTACTATTTCTTTTTTTTTTTTTAATGTACCTTTGATTTTTTTTTTTCATTGGGAAACAGTGTGTTTTTCCAGGACCCATCAGCTCCCAGTCAAGTAGTTGTTTCAGCCTAGTTGTGGAGAGCACAGCTCAGCAGCCCATACAGGGATCAAACCAGCAACCTTGGTGTTATGAGCACTGCACTCTAACCAACTGAGCTAACCGGCTGCCCCTTCTCCTACTATTTCTTGTCCTTAAAACTCACTCACTCCCATGGTTCCCCTCTTAAGCTTGTCATCACAAGCCTTCCATTCCTTGACCATCATCTTCTGTCTTTCTAGATAACCCTTTCTAGTATTCTTTTTCCAACAGTTCTTTAAACACACTGCCAACATAGAACCTTCGATCCATCTCTCAAACCACCATCTTTTACTGTCCCTCTTCCCTTCACATCCCCACTTCTTTCCTTGCCGTGCATAAATTCCACATTAAACTTCACTACATGCACTTCCTCACAAAAGCCCTCAGCCCCCTTATGCCTCTTCTGCTATACTGTATTCATTTGGCTGAGCCATGGCCCTGGATGTGGGAAGAAGTGGATTCTGGTTATATTTTAAAGGAATGTGGGATGCAAGGGAGAGAATCAAGGGCGATTGCAAGATTGTGGCCTAAGGGATGGAAGAACAGAGTTGACAGTTTCATAACAGAGAAGTCTGGAAAAAAACAAATGTGGTGGAGTAATATCAGAAACTTAAATTTTGAACAGGTGCATTTTAGATGCCATTTGACATGTCAGTGGATATGTATACAATTTGTTTTGTTGTTGTTTTAAAGATTTTATTGGGGAATTAGGAGAGGGGAACAGCATTGGGGAGTTGGGAAAGGGGAACAGATAAGCTGCTGTCCTTTTGCTCCTCAGTCTAGTTGTGGAGGACGTCGCTTCACTGGCCCATGTTGGTATTATCATTGCGCTCTTCCCAGGTGAGGCAGATCAGTCACCGGCCAGTGGACAGTCACGGCAGCTCTTAGCATCTCACGCCGGCCGCTCACGCCTGCTGCCAGCCACTCACCGTAGCTTACCACAGCCCACTGCAACCCCACTGCAGCCTACACTGTCGCCTGTGACCCGTGGCAGCCCAGCTCCAGGTTGAGATGTTGTTCACCATCTTTAGCTGTAGAGGACACAGCGTCACTGGCCCACATGTGGGATCCGAACTGGGGCCCTGCTGCTCAGAGCTGGCATCCCAAGCCAACTGTTTTTTTTTTTTTTTTTTTTTTTTTTTTTTTTTTGTTTTTTTTTAGCTGAGCCATCCTGCCACCTGTTGGCAGCTCAGCGGCTGCTCAGCTCGCGGGCTGACTCGAACCACTGTTGCTCAGAGCTCAAACTCTTGAGCGAGCTCTTAACCAACTGAGCCACTCAGCCGGCCCCCAAGCCAACTCTTAACAGACGCGCCAACTCGGCCGTCCCAGGATGTGTAGACAATTTGATTACTCAACTCTGAAGTTCAAGAAAAGATTTTGGATGCAGAAATAAATTTAAGATTCATCAGCATCTAGATGACATTAAAAACCAGGAGACAATGAAGTCCCTCATAGATGAATGAGTAGAAGTGACCCAAAGACCCCAAGGAATAAACCTTGGGCATCCCAATATTTTATGGCCAGTGGAGTCAGCAAAAGATACTGAAAAGCAAGTAGTCAGAGGAAAGCAGAGGAAATCCAGTGTGTTTGGTATCCTGATATCCAAGTGAAG